CAGAGGAGACTCCAGCTCAGGGCAGGGGAGACACAAGTCCAGGCCAGGGGAGACTCGAGCCCAGGCCAGGGGAGACTCGAGGTGCCCGGCACGCCGGGAGCGGAGCAGCGAGGCCAGGCTGCTCCCAAACACACACTCACGCATGCACACCTACCAGCCTCCTTCCACAAAAGAGGCTTCTTTCATTTCCTGTGAGAGGAGGAGGTGGGAGAGAGGGAACTTGAAGGCTGCAAATTCCTCAGCCACATATCTCGCCTCCCTCTCCTTTCCTATGCTGCCTGCCAGCTCCACGTTCAGGATCTGCAGCTCCTGCTTCCCATACAAATAGGCAAGGCTGAACAACTGTGCTTTTAAGCCTTGTGAGACATTCTGTTGCTTTGGGGGGTGTTTTCTTATCACAGCATTTGTGTGCTTTGCCTATCAGAGCCACCTCAAGGCTGCTCTAACTCCAGAGGGCCAAGTTGCTGGGTAGCTGGTTTGGAGCACAGGCATGCCTTGTGCTGTGTTTTAAGCATTTTTTTCCACCTGAGCTGCCCCCTTCTTGCCCCCAGCCAGCCAAGGAAGCTTGTCTTCATGCATATTGACAATTACCTTGTGCTGGAGCAATGCTTTTCCAAACCTTCAGCTCTATACCTGCCATTTCAAAGGGATATTGTTGTCAAGCGCCCAGCTTGTCACAAAACTGTGAGCTGGAGACACTAAAGCAGCAGGTGGTACCCAGGTGTGTAGGGCTAATCCTTAGCTTTTCTAAGACAGGGTTCCTTTTCCCTCATGAGTAACTAGGACAAACACAGGAGAGGCAGAGGGTGTTTCTGTTTCAGTCATTTGGCACTTGCAGGCTTTTCCTTATTTTTTACGAGGTAGACTGTACTGCTTCTCCTGTGCCAGGGACAGACATTAGTAGTGATGGGTGAGATCGTATTCTCCCCAGAGCTGTGGCAAAGGAGCTCACACCAGCCACCCCAGGGCTGCTGTGGCTGTGAGGAGGTGGAGGTTCTTTGCCCGTTCAGAGCATCCTGATGCTGTGCTGTGACTAAATTAGAGCTAGGGCTGATGCAGGAGGGAGTCCAGCTGCCTCTTCTGTTTCTTTGCCTGATCCTGGAGGCATAAATGAGTGGTATCAATCAGAAACAATGCCTGAAAGTCAAGTAGATTTGGTGTTCATCTAAATAGGGGAAATCCTGTGCACTGAGATTTCAGGACCTGGTGGCTGGAGTGCAAAATGCATGGAGAGAAAGCGCACTTCTGCAGAACATTTCCTAAGACATCCAAGGACTCTCTGAAACCCACAAAGCCTGCCCTAAAACCACAGCTGCAACAAAAGAGGAAGAGTCCACAGCAGAACTGGGAGCATATTAAACCTTGCAAAATCGGTCTCTTTCTGTGGTGGGAAGCATGTGTATAAATACATACACACATACACACGGAAAGAGAGCTGTACTGCTCAGCATCGGAGTAAAAGTGAAGGCAGGAGGTAGGAATGCTGAGCAGGGGTGGTGATTTCAGGCAGGGCTGCATCAAGTGCAGTGGCCTGAGCTGGTGGCTTCACAAGGAGAATGACCAGTCTTCCCAGGACCTAGTGCAGTGGATTTAAAGGATTCTAGGTGGTTTGCTAGCCACACAGGTAAATTCAGCAAAGATGTAAATGGGGGAGTGAACCATCAGAAAGAGATAACAAGGATGAGGGTGCAGATGAAAAGATGTCCAAATGGTGCAGAGTGCATAGGGCAAAAGGAGTGTGATTTCCAAGTGACACTAAAGAAGAACATAGGAAAAAAAAGTAAAAAGACAGTGTTAAAGAGCTAGCTGTCTAACATTCCAGTACCACCTCTGTTCTTGTCCTGACACCACTGAGTGCAGTTGCTGTTGAGTTCCAAGTTGTGCAGGCTCCTATGAAGGCAGTGTTCCAAGCTGACCCCAGTGACATTGCCCAAGGTGGCTGCTTTCCTGGGAGTCGAGTCAGGAGCTCAGGGTTAACTCTGTGATGCAGGACCTTTGCTGGGCAGGTGTGTGTTCTTCCTGAACAGCTTTGCTGGAGCTGGAATGACTCTGCCAACAGGGATCTTCACAAAGAAAGGAAATTCACGAAGCCTGTGCTTGAACACATTGTCTATAAGAGCTGTTGCTTCATCTGGACAAGCCTCTGGGCCCATATTTTGGGAATGTGCCTATGGTATGCTTTGCAGTCAGAGCTGCATATTTTGCCTGCTGCATGTATTCAGCTGCAAGTTTCCATTCTTGGCATGTGACCATGTCCAAGGCCTGCACTAACACAGATTCATGGATTGCCACAACACTACATGATGTAGAAAAATCGTGCCTTAACTAAGCAGGCATAGATTGTAGGGGTCTGAGTTAAGCAGGTGTGGAGCCTGTTCTAAATCTCAGGAGTCTGTAGCTGCTGGGCACAGTGGACTTTCCTCCTGGAGGACTCTAGAAAGCACAGAAGAAGGAAATGCACTGGAGATCTTTGCTGCTACCTCACTTCTTCTGAGCACAAGGTCAGCAGAAAAACAGCTACTCCATGTCTGGACTGCAAGCAGACATGCTCCACTGGGCAACCCACAGCCCTGATTCCGTGACCACCTCATCCAGACCAGGGATGTGGTTGGAACTCCCTGACCTCCTTCAGCCTGCACACCCAATCTTTCTTTCCAGGAGGTGAGATCAGAGCTGCTGTAAACCTCAAGATGGAAGGTCCAAGGAGTGGCTGAGACCAGGGGTTACAGCAGTGTTGATATCTCAGGATTATCCATGTCTTGCCTTCCACTGGAACAAAATTCACTTTCATATCCCTCAAAGTCAGTTTGCTGTGGAATTAATGGAGAAAGAGAGTAAAGCAAGAAGATAATGCAGTGGGGGAGCATTTCTTTGCATCTTTCCTGGGTAGAGGCATCATCCCCGTTCCCATCACTTGCAGGACCAGCTGTGATTTCTCGCAATGCAATGCCAGACACAGCCATCACTCTCTGGATTCCTTTCCCTTTCATTGTCCCTCTGGAGAACAGGACTCTTGTTAAAAACCCTGCAAGTATCATTGAGAGCCAGCTCTATTATTCCCTAGCCAGTGAAGCAAGACAGGCATACTCTCCCACAACCTAGGGATGCCCCTCTGATCTATTACCAATGGGGCTATCTTTAATGGGATCAGAGCCTGCCCTTTTTCACATCCCACAGGGACAACACCTGCCCACCAGAGAACAAAGAAGAAACCTGTTGTGATGGGAAAAAAGACACAGTTCTCTCCAGAGAGGCAGCAAAGCTGTTTGATTAAGAGCATCTTTCCCCCAGCCAGCTGGTTTGCTAGCAAAACAACCAACTAGACTTCATCTTTATGCAAGAGAGAAAATCTCTGTGGAGCAAATGCCATGAGTTCCATTTTCTTCACCTATATAAACCACAGGAAATCTGGGGAAATCTTTGCAGAAAAAGACTGTAGGAGCAAGCGGGAAAATATTTCTGCCTGAACCCAATATTTAAAAAATATTTTAAAGGGTAATTTCAGTGCAGCATTTGAAATTCTGCAGTAAAGACATCTATCTAGAAGCTTCATCTCTAGCTTGTCTTCCTCAAAAGACACAACAGTTACCATTACTGTACATTTTCTCTGTAGCCCCTGCCTTTTCAAGGGTGCAGCATCCCAGTCAGGCAGGTCCAATGTGTTTTCTTCATCAATGTCCTCTGGAGGCTGTCCCATGTCTGCACATCTGCCCTTTATCTGTAGCACTCCAGTCCTGGGGCAAGAAATCAGGACAGGACCAAGCAACCCCCATCTCCTTGACAGTGGTGCCAAACTCCAAACCAAACCACGCCTTTTTTTTCTCTGCCTGTTTCTCTAATTGGAGACCAGGCCTCATTTCTAGTGTTTATCCCATAAGCTGCCCAGAGGAAAACTGGCATGGGAGCACAGGTGCAGGTTCCAAGGAGGTCAGAAGAAGGTTGCCTATGACACAGGGGCCTTTGTGGTACCATGGTTCATTAGCCCAGTCCAGAGTTGGAGTGAAAGGACTCAGGCATGCTTGGGTGTGTTTGTGCATCCTAGTTTCTTTGGCAGTTTGGTGACTCTTGGAGAAGTGTAATTGTGAGCAAAGTTTTATTCCAGTGGATGCAGCACGTAGCAAGAAGTTCACCTTCAGTTAGAGAGGATCTTAATATGACCTTCCGTAAAAAAAGGGGCATTGTTTTGAGTTTTTAAACAGCTGCTGTGTTCCACCCCACTAATGGTTGCAATTCAGGAGTGAATAATATAAGCTCAGATAAACACCCGGTAAAATAATTGGGATCTTTCCTGGCGGGGGGAAGCAGGCAAGTTACTCAACAAAAAGAAATTATTATTCTCACTGCGTAGGAAATGAAGTGTTCTCCTTTTCATCACCAAGTGGGCTGTCACACAAAATCTCTCCCCGCCCTTGTGGAAGCAGCCCAATGCCATTTGCAGTGCTCTCTTGCCACCTTCACTCTCATAGGAAGCCAGAGACTGTTTTAGTTAGGACTCATGTATCTTCTCTGTTTTCCCTTCCGACCTTTGTCTGCTTCTCCATCCCATCCCCGGCCTTCTTAAAAATAACCCTTTCAGCTGCCCTTCTACTGTTCTGTAGGGGAGCAAACACCATCTCCTTTCTTGAGGCAGCCGCGACATGACGGCGAGAAAAGTTTCCCCCCGGCTCCCTCCTGCCAAGCTCCGTGTGTCCACTCGGTACACGCTGTGTCTGCCGGGCTGGGCAGGACTGCAAAGCGCCGGGCCTTGGGTCTTGGCCTCCATCGGATGAACAATTTCCCGTTGAAGGTTACTCACTTCCTGTTTTCCGTATTTAGACAATCTGGGCCTATTGGGAGCTTTGATTTTTTTGTAAACTTCAGCTGTTTTAAACGTTAAGTCGCGGGAGACTGAGGTAAGGGGAAGGAGGGGGAAAGGCCTGGAGACAAATTAGGGTTATTTAATCCCAGGACCGTGTTCTCTCTGCAGTGTTCTAGTGACCATTAGAGCATGTGAAAGGAAGGTCAGGGCTGACAGCATGGGAGATGGCGAGAGGGCTGCTTCACAATGGGCCGGGGCTGGAGGCGCTGCGTGCGGCTCTGCGTGTGCGTGGGGCTCTCCGTGAGGCTGTGTGGTCAGCACTTGGAATCAGCCGGGGATGCACTCCAGTGACTAATGTCTCCAGTGTGTCATCTGTGCCACAAACAGCTGCATGGAGGTGGTAAGAGCAGTGCAGCAGCTCCACAGCAGGGGCAGGGAGGAGCTTCTAACCTAGAGAGTGCTGTGCCCTTTCCCTGTGCCTATCAGTACACACCACATTCTGACATTTGTTAGAACTTGCCCTGAAGTTTGCTAGGCTGGAGCAAGTTAACACTTGTGTGTAGCTGATAGGGCAGGTCATGTCTTCTTTATGCCTGCTTTGCAAGGGTAAACTGAGGCACAGAGCGCTGTAATTTCGCTTGTTATCAGAAAGTGAGTGTGTGAGGGAATGGGGTGAGTCCTGGCACCAGTCAGGCAGTGGTCTGCCTCCAGAGTGTGCTTTTTCATCAAGACCATATTTCCTGTGCTGCTGGGAGTAATGCTTGGAAAGAAGAAAATAGTGTGCAGTCCAGAGTGCCTGTGGGCTCAAAGGTTATGTGAACAATTTTGATCTGTTCCTTTTTTGTTCATCTAGTTCTCTTCTATCTATGATTGACTCTCAACATAGGGTGGTTTTACTTCCAAATGTTTCAAGGATCCACAAAAAAGAAAATAAAAATAAAATAAAATAATGGATGGGCAGAATTAAAACAGGAGATAGTAAAATAATCTGTATATTACAGCAAAATCCAATAGGGATTGCCTTGAGATCACGCTAGCAGTATAAGAGCCACCAGAATGCCAATGTGGGCAAGTGGGAGTGAACTAAAGAACCAGAGGCAAAAAATTACAACCAAATAGACAACAAAATATCCCAGGTAAAGAAATCTGCCACGTACTCTCTGCCTGAGAGAGAGCAGGCAGGAGCTGAATCAAGAGCCAGAGGAAACGAAAAGTTTTGGGGACGACTTTGGTGAAGCAGGTGTCAGAAGAAACAAGGGTCTCTATTCACACTCTGGCATTGATAGGCCCAACTCCAAATGATTTACACAGGCTCTTGACCCTCCTGAGCCAGAGTCAACTTTCCCCCAAATAACTCCCTGCAGCCCAGAGTGCAGAACCACAGACAGAGGAGCATGCAGGATGCAGGCAAGTGGCTGTTTTCTGCCTGGTGCTGCTGTATAGGCTGGGTGAACGTTATACTTCCCTGATTCAGGTTTTTATAGACCAAACAGTAGCAGTTCCCTCCCTCGGTGGTATGTCAAAGCCTTTCCCTGAAGGAGGAGTTAATTCACTATTGTCTTTCTACCTTCTGCAAGTTTTCTCTGCTGTATCTCTCACCCCGCAACTGCATTTTGTTCAGATGCGCTTTCAGTGCTCAGAAATGCAACTTAGCTCTTACTGCAAATGGAGGGCAGTTCTGCAGTGTCTCCCATGAGTTTCCTCTGATGAGGGTACAAGGGTCCTAGACCTCCCAGCAGCACCTTGGTGCAATGTGAGCCCTGGATTTAGGACAAGCTCTGGATCTGGCAGGGACACATCAGGCTGAGCCACCAGGGCTGACTGCAAAGCTGGCACCACAGAGAATTGCACCCAAAGCTGTTGAAGCAAATGGTGTCTCTGAATTGGCACCAGCCAGCTGCCCTGGTGCTGAGGTTTGATCTGTTAGACCCGGAGCAGCCTGGTTTGCACTCATATCACCATGCTTAAAGAACAGTCACTCTCACTCAGAAATGTTTACTTGCAAGGACCAGATGGCCCAGGGAATTGGGCTCAACAAAGCATTTTACTTCTAGGTCATGCATTCTAATCCAGTCCAGGTTGGTGATAAATGAGCCTACTCACCTGATAGCCACTTTTGGCTTAGTTTTTGATTGTTTTTCAGGTTAATTTCCAAGGGGAGATGCCTCACCACAAAATGTCCCTCTCTGCCCTGCCACAGTTGGTCTTGATTTGACTGTCTCTGTGGAGAAGCCAAGGATCAAATGCTCCATGGCGCCAGACTGTTTTCTTTTGCAGCCTGCAGGTAAGGGGAAGTTGTCCTATTTCTGGCTGTGTCACGCCTGCTCTGCGGATGGGCAGGAGCTCCGTTTGTAAATCTGCTGCCCCAACCCCCTCCACCAAAGTGAAATGAATTTTTTAAAAAATGGGAAAATGCTTAATTGCAGTTGACATATAGGCACTCTCAGCTATGAACTTTACATGCAATCACAGATAACAGCAACAAAATTAATGCCTGCTTCCCACTTGTCCTTCTATAAGCAATAAACGTTTGGCAAGTCAGTAAATAACAAAATTCTCATGTGGCCATCTACAGGTCACCAGGATACTTAAGAAGTTTGCGTTAATTATACCATGTTTGCCATCAAAGAGGGGATATTAACCCTTTCAAGCTGTTGCAGGAAAGCAGTGGAGCCATTTGAAAGTAAGTAAATAAAATCTTGTCACTAAAAGTGCAACATTTGCAAAATTATAATAAAAAGAGGGATGTTTGAAGCAAAAACCTCAGCAGACATCATGGAAAATACAGTACCTTTTCAGCTTCCCTTTTATTTATTTTGTATTTTGACATCAAACACTCCCTGTAACCTAATCTTCTTGGCTTTTGATGTGGCCGTGGAGACATGACAATTAAGCACCGCTTAAAACAATAATGCCAACAACAGGAACCAAAGGCAAGTAATGTCAGGGTTCCCCCCTCACAAAAATCCTGTCCCCCAGTGTTTGGTGGCAGTGAAAGGACTATAAATCCCAATTTGTTGCCTTGATATCTGCTCTGTGCTTACACTTTACGTTGAACTTTACACACTTGCTCCATTTCCATTCCCTGCTGTTTGTTTTTCTTCTGCTATGCGAAATGTCTGGAGACAAACACAATACACACATTGCAGAGAGATGGTTTGATCTTTCACAGATTAGTGCCACCTGACAAACATGGGATTATTTATTATCTGTGTTGCAGGAACTGCTGAAGCCCCCGCTCAGAGAAGCACGCTCCTCCGGGCGCTGGGGGATGCACCACCCCTCCTGACGGCCTGATGGATTATGGCCCCAGTTCTGTCAGTGCATCCAACCAAACCAGCAAAGAGGCAGAGAGGCAGCCCCCAGGTAAGCCACCATCACAACCTGAATGGGATGTGTACTGTGCAACCAAAGCAAACAGCTTGATTATTCCAAATTTTAAAGAGATATTGCTAGTTCTCATTTCTCAGCTACTCAAAGATGGAGGGAGACAGGCTGATTTTAGTTATAACCCCATTTTAAACCTGTCTGAAAAAAAGAACACATTTCTTTTTAAATGAAGCTTGCACAGTGTGCTATAAACTGCCTCTTTTTTTCCTTTTTTTTTTTTTTTAATGGGTGTTTGCACTAAGCCTTGCTGAACAAGTTAGAGAGATGATTAACTCGTCTGAAATGATGCAGGAAGGCCTCGTCCCAGTTGTGTGTTCTTCCTTCAGCACATGGAAAGCTGCTGCAGCTCCGTGGTATTCACAAGTAGGGCTTGCAACCAGGGCTGGGCAGGAGGCTGCAGGGGGAAAGGCAAGCACTGCTCCAAAGGGCTGGAATTCTCACACACACACACACAGAGGATAAAGGAACCCAGGTCATTTTTTCCCTTAATGAGTAGAGTTTTCCACAAGGGGTCAAAGGAAGAAACCCAAAAACTAGCAGTTTTCTTGAAAATATTGTTGCAGCAGCAGCAGCAGCAGCAATGCCCACCCCTACACATGGGTGACTTTGCAAGACTTTGCTTCACTCTGTAAGGCCCCAAGGGGTTCCTTGTGTGGGTCAAACTCCACTGTGTGACAAAAGCAGCTGCAGTTTTGGTGTCATGGAAGATCTGTTTGGTAAGCCCTTTTCTCCATCCTCACATGCCAGTCCATGTGCACACCTCCCTGCACTCAGGGCTGCAGCCCTGCTCCCAGGGCAGCTCCAGGCTGGCCATCCCCCCTTGCTCCCTTCACGCCACTGATAATGACAAATGGCAAGAAACAGGTTTCCAGGTGGAGAGTGCTCCTTTGGAGAACTTTCCCTGGTCTCATACAGGTCCTGCCTTGAAATCCATTAGGCAGCTGGTCTCTTTTCTATGTTTACAATGCTTTTAAAATGTGTTTTTAATGTAAAGGTATTTCTCCAAACACTTTAATAAAACACACAAAAAAAAAAATCAAGAGAAATCACAGTTCATCATCTCTAATGTGGCTGCTCCCTCAAAATTTAAACTAGTTTAGAAACTGAGGCACACTGAACTGCTTGACCTCATCACTCCAAAACAACACTGGAGAATGAGCTTTTGTACCTATGCTTCCAACACTAAATCATTCTTTAACTACCTTATTTTGTCCTACCCTGTTAGGGTTTCAAAATATCATAGCCTGCTCTGCATAAAGTATAAGCTAATAATTCGGCTGGCAACAATGGTGATAATTTTTCCTCTCTCCCAACTAAAAGCAGCTTTTATGACATGAAGCAGGGCACAGGTAGTTTCACAAAAAAGGTATTTATTATTCTTAGCAATATTCACCTTGAAGGAATATGAGGAAAGCATACACTTTTTACAGACAATATATAAACATGTTGTACATAATTAACAATAATTTAGTTCACTAATCCAAAAATAAGCAAAATAAAAATTAAAATAAAAACAGAAAATACTGAAGAATTTTTTTTATGCTGATACAAGTACAAAATAATTTAAATCTCAACTGCTGTTGTCTATGCTGCAGTGACTGACAATATATTGCACTTTGTCAACTGTATCAGTAATCCCTGTCTTTCACCCACACCCCTTCCCCTCTGCCCAAATCCTACAGAAATTTGAGTTGGGTACAAATAATGTACAACTGTACCATTGTAAAAGGTAAAAAGTAAAAAGGACCTAATTTTTTACCTCAGTAGATTAAAAATTCTTATGATTTCTCCCAACCAATTTAGTTTCCCATTTATTTCCACTTCTTTACAAAGTGCACCTATATGCCTACGCAGACCAAAAAAAAGAGGAAAGCAGGATTTTCATGGCTGCTTGGTTCTTAATTATAAAATACTACATTTTAGTAGGCTTAAAAATTACAGGCTTAAAAAAATTTACATACATCCTTTTTTTGTTTCATTCTGTTTTTTTCTTTAAAGCAGGACTTTTGCAGTAAAGATACAATTTGGCTTGATCCAAAAAAAAAAAAAAAAACAAAAAGGAAAAAGAAAAACCCAACAACAAAATAGTTAAAATTTAAAAAAATAAAATAAAAAGCTTTTCACAGAGTTAAGCTTACGTGGTTTACATTATCAAACCCCTCTGTTCATTGGGGCATTTTCATCAGAAGTATACCTAAATATGTACACCTTATGTTATACTGGAGCTTGTGTTCACGAGAGGCATCAGATCATAACAATCAATAGAATACACTTCACATTGGCAATAGCTTTGTATTCGGTCATTTACGTACAATATGGTTTCATAATGGGAGATTGAATTTTTTTTTTTGTTCTTTTCTTGTTTTCATATAAAATCCGCTACGGAAAACAGACGTTCCCCTTAGAACGATGCTTTCCCTCAGCTGTCTCTGTGTCTGGGATTTGATGGATGTGTGAAGCTCAAACTGATTGTCTCTCTTTTTCCCCTCTCCAGTGATCTCAGCCTCATTTCTGCCCTTCCTCCCGGTGGACTCCACCGGGGCTGGGTGCCTGAGACAGCAGGCGCTGGCTGCATGTGCATGTGGTGCCCACACTGCCCAAAGTTTACCCAAGCAGCTAATCTGCATTTTTAAGCGACAGCTGCCAACACAACAGAACAAAATGCTTCAACCTCCAAAGTCTGCGAGCAGGATGGGTTTTGTGCCCCATTATAGCTTTGGCTGTGTTAGAACTTCTACGGGCATTTACCAAAATTGTGTTGCAGCTATCCACCCCTTGCTAGTGCAGGATTGCCTTCCCCAGAGTTTTTTCCCAACAGTTTTTCTGACCTAGGTTGTCTGGTTTGAGGAACAATAGGGTAGTTGGGAGAGGGGCTCTTTTTAAAAATAAATCTTTCATGTTTGGAAGAATGAAGGAATTGTGTCAAAATAATCACCATCTTGGGTATATTAAAATCCCGTATTACAGCTACATTTTTGCTTTGTTCCTCGCCCTCGCAATCTTTTCCCCCTTCCTAGTAACTTTGGTATGGAAGATAGATGGAGCTAATCCAAGAGGGCTGTTGAGTACATTTCCCCTCTCCTTGTTTTGAAGGCAGCTTTTCTTACAGGGTAGCAATTGCAAATGACAGCACAAAAACATGCAATCAGAGGGGGTTGAGGCTTTTTGTGGAAAACAAAATAAATATGACTTTGTGTGTGATTTTAAAACTTATGGTTTAATAAAGATGCCCTTTTCTTTCTCTTGGTTTTTTTTTTTTCTACTTTTCTTTTTTTGGCTTTTTTTCTTCTTTTTTTTTCCCTTATCCCAAACAAAGTCCGCAATAGAAATCCAGCATGTCTGGCTTCCAGTGAGCCAATTCCATCCTGGGAGGCTGCTTATATCTCTTTACAATATTCACAGTAATAACAAAGAGAGAAAGGAAAACCAGTTCCGAGCCTTCTCTTTCAGCTTCTGCCATCTTTTGCTTCCTGCTGGACCATTAAGTATCGAACAGGTGAGTTCTTTTTTCTTATACCTGAGGGGGCAAAGTGCATTACAGGCACCACTACACATTTCTGCAGAAGACCCATCATTTGCAAGGTTTTAGTCCAGCATTAAAAGTTAACCACATGGGAGCAAAGGTCTCCTTTTGCCATCCCTACATACTCCTCTTGGCAGAACATTGTCTTACTTGGTGTCACCTTAGGCAAAGTCCCATGTTCGTAATATCTGGATGGGTCTCTTGGTCATCAGGTTTTATCCCATGGCTGTAACCATGCTGGATGGGTGTGGGTGTCCAAATGAGATGCTGGAAGATGGGTGGATGGGGGTAGGCGTTGGTAGGATGTGTCCAGAGTGGCTGAAAGGGGGCAAATGCCCCATGGGTGCCATGTGACTGGCAAGGGCAGCAGCGCTGAAGGGAGACGACTTCTCCTGCATGCACTTGGACAGTTCCTCAAAACACTCAGAGCCTTTCTTGCTTTTCTTTGATTTGTTGGACATTTTCCTATTCCTGGTCTGAATTCCTTCCTTTTTCATGGTCAGAGGCCTGTTCACCTGCAAGAAATGAGAAAATCAGGCTCCTGCAGACAAAATGACTTTATTGTGCAAAAATGAAAATATTTGGACAGCCCCCATGTGTTTTTCCTGGATGGAGACCTTTTTCTGGCCAAAAAAAATGGTGTTTCTCTCTGCAGAACTTGTTTATATTGATTTGTTTAATAAAACCACACACACAAAAAACCCCTAGACATGAAAAACAAATTGAACTGAATTTGGCAGCTGATGACTCTCTTTCCCGTAGGCTTACCCTCAGTTCTCATTAATTTCCTAATAGAAGATCAAACTAGGAGGCACACGCTGACCCAAATTCAGTCCTGAGACATGAGCAATCTTGTACCAGTAACCTCTGTTACCTACAGTGTAAATAATGATCCAACATACCAAGTGTTCCTGCTTAGGATTAATTTCTTAAAAAAAAATTTAAATAATACAACAAAGCCTTAGATACAATTATTTTTTTAGAAGTCAAAATGAAGATAGCCCATCACGATTAATTTCTGCACAGAGCCCATTCCAAATGGCCTCTTTTTCTGGATGGAAACAGCACACAAAACCCACTTAGTTAAAACCAAGTGTGGCAGCTCTGTTTTGCCTGGTTTGCCCAAGCTAGAAGCCAAGCTAATACATTGTAATGTCACTGAACTTAGCATCACTATGCTGACAAAGAACGGCTGTCACTTCCCAGGGGAACCTTAGAGACGGGGAAGGAATAAAACAACAACCAAACCCCTGAAACCAATAAAAGCCTAGTGTACACCATGCAGTTAAGACATCAATCCACACTAGGCAAGCAGCGACACATGAGATGAGTAAATACTCACATTGTGCAATTTATAGTAGAGTCCACAGGCATTACAAACTGGGTCCCCGTTTGCATTACGTCGCCATAAGGTCGTGGTGGTTGTCTGGCAGTTGGCACAACAAGT